TACAGAATCTAATGGACGTACATAATTGTGGATCAGGCCTCTAGTGGGTCTCTGGAAAACCAACTGTTAATCCTAACATACTTTGATATTTTCAAGAACGCCATCATGCTTAGCTTATCTTAAAATCTACCTCTACAAGTTTTTATAATTTTCTCTTGAACTGATAATGAGATATAGAAATTTCTTTCTCACAGTCAAGGAATTGCTTTTGCCGCATATTCATTTGAAACAAGTAAATATCTTGCGATCGGTTCAAGGGAAAATATAAAAACCTGTAGTGGTAGGTTTTAAGATGAGCTAAGCATGATGGCGTTCTTGAAAATATCAAAGTATGTTAGGATTAACAGTTGGTTTTCCACAGATCCCCTAGAGACCTGATTCACAATTTTTTACCTCAATTAGATTCCATATTCGGATAGAGCGCAAAACTTTTCACCGATCTATGTATGTCATCCATTGGATTAAGATTTTGTTATCTTACAGCATTACTCCGAAGAAGTCAAAAGCTTTAATTTTTGCTGGTTTTTCGCCTAGAAAATATCGAAAACTTGATTTTGAAGCGCAGTTTTTGCAGAATTCTCGTTATCAATATGATACCGCACGCGGCTAAACATGTTTCAGGCTTTTTCATACGATTGACACACTGTTTGATAACGGGGAACGAAAATAGCGTCTTTTAGCATCCTACAATAAATTCTATTTTTCTCGATTATAGTTCGTTCTTTTCAAAATTCAACCTGAAATTCAAAATCTGCACCTGATGATGTATAACTCAATAGAATTTAGAAAAAACAAATTTTCGACAACTCTGGGGTCCGCCACAGGTGTTAAAAACCAGGTGAAAAATGAAAAGCATTGTTCGCCAGAAAAAAGACCTCATTTTACTCAGAATGCAATGCTGATTCCGAATATGTAATTTTTTTTGCGAAGTATTTGGGGCGAAAAAGTGGCCTTACCGCCACTTGTCCTTTATTTATGATTACTATCATTCAGTCATGACGAGTTATTTTTTACTGAATTAAATCCAGAATCGAATAATATTTTATTGATTATAGCTGAATTTAACTACGTTATTATTCATTCTGTGAAACAAGAGTTTAAAGAAGTGTGGAAGTATACATATAGGACTGAAATGTATACTCTTCTCCAGACTTTTGAGTTCGTCAAAGTTAGTCTCAGCCAGGTTCGAATCATTCAATAAACCGCATCCAATAACACAACTCCTTCTTCTTCATGTCGCACAATGTGACAGACGTTAATGTTACATAGTCTTTCATTGTGTATCAACAACATCTCGTTACAATGCATGAATTGCTTTCTAATTACATATCTCGAGCATTAAGTAAAAGAATGGAGAAGAGATGTGTCTCAAAATAGATAGAATAAAAGAATCTTTGTATGATTAGCAACAGGAATTTCATAGTGTTCGACATTTTAATTCTGTGGAGATTGTTCTAATAGTTTGTGTAATAGAATGATAAAAGTGATATAAATCTTAAGATAGTTTTATTAAATTAATTTAATTGTTATTATTTCAGATCATGAATAAACATAAATCTCAGTTAGAAGATCTACCTAATGAATTACTCAGTGATATATTTAAAAATCTTGATGCACGAGATTTATTTCGAGCATTTTGTAATCTTAATTATCGATTTAATGAATTAATTCAATCATTTCAACATCTTCAACTTGTTTTTCATATGGATTTATCAAATGTTCTTAAAACAAATGATGAAATTTATTCATTTTATGTTTATACATTAATTGTTAATCCATGGATTAATTTTAATCTTCAAAATTTTCCAAATGTACGTCGTCTAAGATTAAATAATCCATTACCAAAAGTTTTAGAACAATTACAACCAAATGTTATGCCATATTTAGAATATCTTTCTATTTTTTATACATATAATATGTATGAAATGGTATTATTACATGAAAATATATTTTCAAATCGTTTTCAAAATTTAAAATCATGTGAATTATATGAAAAACAAACATTAATAACTATACCACATTGGACACAATCACCATCAATATATATTTTAAAAGCTGAATTTATTGATTCAGTTGTATATAAAACAATTCTAACTGCATGTCCAAATTTATATTTTTTTAAATTTGTATTATATTCATCGAATGGAATATCAACAGATATTTCATCACATAAAAATCTTAAACATATGATAATTGAACTTCGAGATTCCGATTGGTTCTATGATGATTATATAATAAGTAGATTTTTAGAATGTGTACCGAATTTAAAACAACTTGAAATACATCGTAGAAATTATTCACCAAATATTCGAGAATCTATTGAATAACTGGAGCTCATCCTTTATCATCAAAGTTTTAATGGAGAACAAGAATTAACTTCAATAAGTCTATCTCTCTTAAATTATCAAACTCCTTTGTAATTAACGAACGATTATCGTATTTACTTGAACTTTTTTGAAAATGACTAATGTTTTGAAATAAGCATTGATACACGCAAATAAATCTTATCAAATGTAATTAACGAAGAAAGTTAATGTTAAAACATTATTTTATAGTTTGTTTTCTAATGAATACTATTGAAAAGAAAGATGCACTGATAGTATCAACAATTCATCGAAACTATTCACTGACGGAAGAAGATTTGATTAGTATACTTATTCAAACCAATGACTCAACATGTCATGATTCTCAGACTTTTAAGACTGTCACAATATGATAGAACTCTACTTATAGGTTTAATATAAAATCGAACAGATTTGACATTTCAAATTCTTTCTACACAACTAGCTTTTACTCTATCCCATTCTCATAAAAATCAAACAACGTGAATGTGAGTATGGATTTGAATACAGACTTGGCTGTGAAATTAGTCATTGGTATAATTATCTGTATCTGGAAATGATAAAAAAGATGTGACAATGTGATGTCAGTGTTCCTACCCCGATCAACAACACACATGAGAAAATAGGGTGGGCTCATGGATTCTTCTTGAGAATGTGAATGTCAGTGGCACTTTTTATGTTATTCTAGGAAAAACATATGTCACATTCCTGACAATGTCTCGTAACTAAAGTTTAATATATATGTACGATTTGCTTGAATACTACTAGATAACGATAGAAAGTATTATAAGTAAAAATGATTAGATACCTTCGGATCAAATAAAAGCTCTCACTGTTAAATTAACATATATAGAATGTAGACTGCTCTTATGTGTGTTGAGAGAGACTAAGATATTCAATTTTTAATGCGTGTTTAGTGTATGCTCGAAGCCCTAAATCCCAAGCCTAATTACATTTTTATTCTTATTTTGTTCGGATAGAAGTGCGTCAAGTAACATAATAAAAAAATACATTTCAAATTTTAAAAACCGATTGCACCAGAAAAACCCAAGATGCTCTTATTTCAAATCTAAGATAAAATAGATGCAAAGTTCTGATTTTTGTTAAATCGCTTTTTTAAATTTGAAACATTTTTTATCATACTACTCAATGAGGTATCCAAGCAAAATGGTCAAGGAAAAATAAACTGTTGATGTTTTGAATTATGGGCATCATACATGCACTAAACATTCCTTAAAAATTTATTATCTCATTTTCAGTCCTTGCATGTCAAGGGCAGCTTATATTTCAAATTTGTTGGTTAACCGATGAGAATTTTAACTTGATCTGATTACATCTAATCTTTTTCATTAAAACACAATGCTTGTCATCTTAAAATACCTATGATATAAGTATCACAACAGAGAATATACAGGAAATATTAGTATCTTCTCTGAGTGAATATAGCACCCTGTAAGATTTTTTCTAAACGCTATGTAAGTAATCGAAAATCTCCAAAAGGATACTACCGGATAAGATCGTAAATCTGTCATCCCTTATGTTATAATTTCAATAGGTTAGAAAGATAGAGTATGAGATCCTGCACATGTCTGTGTATTTTTTTTTTTGTTGAGTGCAAAGAGAATTTTTCAGGATTAAATACTCTTGGAGTTTCTACAATATCTGAGTGTCTTGAATAAAAACTTTGGAAACTAATCTGTTTTTTTTGTATACCTAATATGAAAATTAGGATGTGAAGTTTTAGTCTCCCAAGCGTCCACATCCTGGTTTTCATATTACATATACAAAAGAAAAGATTAGTTTCCAAAGTTTTTATTCAAGACACTCAGAAATTGTAGGAACTCTAAGAGTATTTAATCTTGAAAAATTCTCTTTGCACTCAACAAAAAAAAAACACACAGACATGTGCAGAATCTCATACTCTTTCTTTCTAACCTATTGAAATTATAACCTAAGGGATGACAGATTTACAATCTTATCCGGTAGTATCCTTAGGAGTTTTAATGGGTTTAACTTTGAAACGCATTGAAATGAATGAAAATGTCCGAATTTTTGCGTTTTAATGCAGTTATTTTATTAAGGTGTTTAAACGTTTGATTTTTTTTCACTCATTATAACGTTGTTAAAGTCAAAATTATATCAACTGTTAAAACGCAAAAATTCGGACATTTTTTGAAAGGAAAAAAAGTGGTCGTTGTAACGCGTTAATTCCTCATTTCTGACTGCGTGTGGTAGTAGATGACATCTTCTCCTACGAACACTTCTTTTCGCAAACTGCAAAGCATTGTCATTTAACCGATACAATCATCATTTGATTTATGTCGCTATATGTATTATATTATAAATAAGATTATTTTCCATATGATCATTATAGAAAAATTATTGGTTAAATAGAGAAAAACAAAGAAAGAGTATATTCGATTTTGTCTAAAAGAAAAAGTGCGTGATTGTTTTCGTTGACAATAACGATGATCGAAGAGAAATGAGGGAAGAAGATATATAATTATTGCTCTTTATAACGAAAGAAGAACATTGAAAATGAAGACAAACATGAAACATTTATTCTCTCAGTTGATGAACTTACCTAATGAAATATTTATGATTATTTTAAGCAATTTGGACAATATTGAAGTACTTTATTCTTTAATAGGTGTTAATAGACGACTCGATCAAATTGCACGTGATCCTAATTTTACTAGTCAACTTGCATTAATAAAATATAATTCATCGCCTGTCCTTACATCTTCATTATCAGATTTATTACTTAATTGATTCTGTTTGTATATATTACCTCAAATTTGTTATAAAATCAAATGGTTCAAACTCGAAACATTATCTATGGAACGTATTCTTCTTGCTGCTAATTATTCGAATTTAAATCAACTTGATATTCTTATTATGGATCAAGACATTGATATAGATCTGTTTATGAGAAAGAATTTTAACTATTTTAATTATTAATTCATAAGAAACTATGAAAATTAACATTATCAAAATGATTCTCTAGATATTTTCATCGTCTTATAACAAATCATATATGCTCTCTATTGATGGACAGAAAGTTTTTATATTACAATACGATTAACTATTTTAATAACTGTTCATCATATATTTTAATCTGAATATATATATAGAGTATATTATGAAATTTACCATCTAACTTTTACTCATATATTTTAAAAACAATAAAAAATAATTCATTTTTCGATGTAAAAATTTCTCAAAACATAAAGATAGATTATGATTAGTGTTTTAACCGAGTTTTCACTTTAAGTAGAGCGTTCTCAGACTTCGGAAGGATGAACAACTACTTTCGGAATGGCAAACGCATAATGTCTGGCGCAACAGTCTTGAACTTCGAGAGGATTAAATTGACCTTCGGAGAGGCATCGACCCTTCTGCCTTCATACTAGATAAAACATTGATTATGATACAAAGGATTCGAATATTAAGATGTAAATAGATTTATTCTTATAATCAAGGAAGTTATAAACGATTGAGAATGAAAAAAAGTGTATACGCTTTGTTTAGTAATATTATATTTATATTTAGATGAATCTCCTCTAGTTCACATTTTTCAAAATCAAATTAAGACATTGTCTATCAGCGGCAGGAAGTCCATACACGATATATATCCAATAAATATGCGAGGAAAACTCTTTTGCCATATCTTAATTAAATTATGTTCACCAATCTTCTTTATTTATAATTCTATCAATCATCAAATATTGGAATAACATATATATCATTTAATCACCAATGTCCAGCATTTTTTTCTTCAACACTGGTAGAATTGCATATTAATGTGTATTATTTTGATGATTGTCTGTATATCTACTCGATGGTCGTCTGCATCAACTACGTATATTGTCAATTAAAGCTTTTCATATTTTACCTCTTCAATCATCCATTAACCAAAAGGTAAACTATTTCATAAGAAGAATAGATTGTTTTCAAAATTGAGAATTGATTTATTTGAAAATTCAATTGATTGTTTACATATGTTTTGTTTTAGAAAGAATTGTCTAATTTAAGATATTTTTCATTAACATGTGATGATGAAACATGTGTTTATGATAAGGTGATTGAACCAAATCTTCAGCGAATGTCAAATCTAGAAAAGCTGGCTTTATATCTTGCGATTGATTACAATGAAACATTTATTGATGGTAATTATTTGATGAAAAATATTATCAGTTATATGCCACACTTAAACGAATTTATATTTAATATTCGTTCAATTATTTCCATTAATAATCTAACATATTTACCATCAAACGATGACATTCAACGTTCATTCATAAGGTTTTACAATCATAAAATTATCTCTTGTGTTGATTATTTTCCAAATCAGGAAATTGGTCAATGTCATATTTATTCATATCCATATACACTAATATATTATGAAAATATTACTAATAATTATCCACATGGATTATTCAATTGTGTGAAAATGGTCGAATTATTTGACGAACGCCCTTTTGAACATGAATTTTTTATTCGTATTACTCAAGCATTTCCATTTCTGGAAGATTTAACTATAACGAATATGGAAGCTCAACAGCAAAAGTCAGATGACAATAATCGACATTTTTCAATCATTGAATATCCTTATCTTGCAACACTTCATCTTCTTCGTATTCATGATGATTATGATGAACAATTCTTATTGAATACAAAAACGTGTTTACCAAATAATATTCACTTAATGATGGATTATGACGTATTGCAACGTGTAACACAGAATTTGACAAGAGATGCAACACGAATCAATTATTCCAAAGTGGAAAAACTTTCACTTCATCATAAAGTAGATTTATCAAGATATTTGTAATGTTTATATCTCATTTCGAATGATTAAAATTCTTCTTTAAATAATAGATGAAACTTTTGTGCAATTTTTTTCACAATAAACTTGTATGTTAAAAAAGCTAATACATAGAAACGTGACTAGACAATTTATCATAGAAAAGAAACTTAGCTAGGTATTCCGATCAGAAATGAGCACAGCACAGGACAAAAATTTTAAATGCCTCCTATCCTACAGGACAGAACAAAATATAGGACGGTAAGAATCTTTATTGTAACTTTCGATCATCAAATTACACAGTACTGTATCAGTTATTTTATAGCTAATTTATTTTGTGTCACGTTCATATAAAACAACTAAAGTTTCAAATGATAATAAATAATGTAAATACAAGAAAATGTGGAAGCATTTTGACTAATTATTTGAATTTCATGCTAATCAAGAAAAATAAATGTAAAACCTCATCTTTCTGTAGAATTTTCCACTAATCATCTTAGCTTACGATGGATATTATTAATAAAAAACAAAGATAAAAAGCATTTCCTAACAAAAATGATACAAGGAAAAGAAAGTATATATCACAATCAAAATTAAATTTAGTTAGCACTAATTGTTAGTTAGACTCAAAACCACATCTTAGTTATTCTTATGCAGAAATAAATTCCCATTTTCGTTCGTAATAAGAAAAAGAAAAAAACCAAGTCACTGTTTTCTTTATCAGACCACGTACTCTAACTTGCTCATACTATTAGATGACCATCAAGTATTTCTTCTACGTTGATGTTTCACGATCACAATTACCGTCGAAAGTAGATTTATGAACAAGAGAAGTAATATTTTGAATAGTTCAAGTATTAAATTCCAACAGAAAGAAATTTATATTTTACTATAGGGAATACTTAAGCTAAAAAATGCTGAGTTTTTTTTTTGTTGGAAAATAAATCGCCAAAATCTAACAGTATCATACTTATATTTAATACAGCATATATGAACCAGATAAAATGCGAACACAACTAAACAAAGATAAAAAATACAACTCAAAAAGCATAATCTGAAAAATTCTAAATCTTTTGATCGAAGCCTGTTACGGAACATTAAGTTTCAATAGAAAACAGTGTCTAACTGTACATTTTCCTAGATTTAAATAGCATTGGTTTAAAACTGAAGATAAATTAATACAGGTATATGTATAAAATCAGATTCGTGTTTTCATCTTTTTTGAAATTGTAGAATCATTTAAAACTCCGTTTAATTATTACCCAAATTCAATGATTTAATATCTTCGAACAGTTTCTATAGGTTTCGCAAAATGTTAAGATGCAGATAGATTCAATGGGTATCTTTTCTTTTCTTTAGATTTCACTATGCAGAGAAGATTTTTTAGTCCTTCGAAATGTTTCCTTAAAATTATGTATTAGAACATACGCGATAAAATTCAAATAAATGTGAAATCAAATCAATCATTCTTTTGTCTAACAGTATTTGATACTTCTAGAGAAAGATCTGTCACTCCATTCGTGCATGACTTTTCAGTGTACGTTCTTTTACTTTTCAGAGACTTTACTCACATCTATGAACAAACAAAATCTTGACACACTTTTACAATACAAGTAAAGAACAAAAAATATGCCACCGTATCAATATCTTTTTGTTGCCTAAGTAGAACATTTTATCAAAAAAAAACAAAGTAAACAAATAATCTTTCAATCAAAAAAAGTGGCATCAACTAATTTGATGGCGTTATTTTGCGATAGGATGAAAAAGAAAAAAACATCGATTATTTTTCTCATATCTAACCTATTGTGTCTATTCGGCAGTTAACGAGAATGATCCCTCTCACAAAGTGTTGCCGTCAAGGGAGCGGAGTACTCTTTTGCCAACATTTTTTAATCTGGTAATGAAAAAAATTAACTTTGATGAGAGAATACAAAGAGTGCGTACAAGAAGAACCTCAAAAAACGAGGAATAGTCCTTTGGAATGTACGATAAATAACTGTGGCGAGAGTGTTTAGCAAATATCTTCAGCGTTCAATAGACAACATAGAAAAGCTGATTGATGGTTTTTTTTGTTCTTGG